ATTCAACACGGCTAAATTAATAACTACAATAATTTTAAGTGGTAACTATATATTTATCATAGTAATGCTACGTACAGTCCAGACTAAAAACGTAGCGAACAACTACAAGTACTTGTCTCTGAGGTAGAAAAAAAATATTTTTTCAGGTCCAATATGTCTGTGGTGTTAGCGGGAGATATTAGCCTAGTCATCTACCCTGAATATTGTTTCTGGATGACTGGACTAACCTAAAATGACCAATACTGGAACAACAAAATGCAGTTTAACATCCAACTATGTGAAATAAGCAGTAAAGTGTAATGTGGTGTGTACAGTAAGTATAATACATAGAATATGAAAGATATGAAAGATAAGGTTTGAAAAGCAGGCCTAATTTATTGAATAAACAGTCAATATAAACAGTAACAATCTTTCAAAATATGTCTTTGTGTCCTTTATAGGCAGGAGTGAATGATGTCAGGAAGACGGTGCAAATTCAAAACTTTTCAAAACTGGCTTTTTGCTAGCCCCAAGACTCTCTGCCTGTGTGTTGGGGTTTACCCCGGTGGACGAGAGGGTAGCTTCCCTGTGCCTTTGGGTCGGGGAACGGGTCCTGACTGTTGTTTGCGCTTATGGGCTAAATATCAGTTCAGAGTACCCACTCTTTTTGGAGTCCCTGGGACGAGTGCTAGATAGTGCTCCATCAGGGGACTCCATTGTCCTGCTGGGGGACTTCAATGCTCACGTGGGCAATGACAGCATGACCTGGAGGGGTGTGATTGGGAGGAACGGCCCGCCTGATCTGAACTCGAGTGGTGTTTCATTATTGGACTTCTGTGCAAGCCGCAGTTTGGCCATAACGAACACCAATTTCGAACATAAGGATGCCCATCAGTACACTTGGTACCAGAGCAGCCTAGGTCACAGGTCGATGATAGACTTTGTAGTCTTATCATCTGTCCTACGGCCCTATGTTTTGGACACCCGAGTGAAGAGAGGAGCAGAGCTGTCAACTGATCACCACCTGGTGGTGAGTTGGATCAGATGGCAGGGGAAGATGCTGCATAGACCTGGCAGACCCAAACGCATAATGAGGGTCTGCTGGGAACGCCTGGCAGAAGAACCTGTCAAGACGATCTTCAACTCCCACCTCCGGCAGAGCTTTGACCGTGTCCCGAGAGCAGTGGGGGACGTTGACTCCGAGCGGGCCTTGTTCCACTCAGCGATTGTTGAGGCAGCTGTTGCTAGCTATGGTCGCAAGGTGGCCGGTGCCAGTCGTGGTGGCAACCCCCGTACCCGCTGGTGGACACCAGAGGTTCGGAGAGCCATCAGGCTGAAGAAGGAGGCCTACAGGGCGTGGCTGGTCCGTGGGTCTCCGGAGGCAGCAGACAGGTTACCGGATATCCAAGTGGGGTGCAGCAGTGGCAGTTGCCAAGGCAAAATCTCAGGTGTGGGAGGAGTTTGGTGAGGCCATGGAGAAAGACTTTGGCCCTCTTTTATGTTGGATTTTATCTCACAGCTTTCATTGGTTCACTTTTTCCCTTGTTTTACACATTTGTCTTCTACTAGAATGTTTCAACTTTTTTGTAATTTGTAATCTGTAATTTGAATTGCTTTTATTTTCTGATTTATTCACTTTCTTTAACTTTGTACTGTACCATGATAAGCGCCTTGGGCTTCCTGACAGGGTTGCGGAAGGCGCTTTATAAATAAAGCTTTGATTTGATTTGAAAGACTATCGATCGGCTCCAAAGAGGTTCTGGCAAACTGTCCGGCGCCTCAGGAGAGGAAGGCAGTAACTTGCTCACGCTGTTTACAGTGGGGATGGGGAGCTGCTGACGTCAACTGGGGCTATAGTCGGACGGTGGAAGGAATACTTTGAGGAGCTCCTCAATCCCTCTTACGCGCATTCCGAGGAGGAACCAGAGCCAGGAGACCTGGAGATGGGCTGTCCAATCTCGGAGGCAGAAGTTGCTGAGGTAGTCAAACAACTACACAGCGGCAGAGCCCCAGGGGTGGATGAGATTCTTCCTGGGTATCTCAAGGCTATGGATGTTGTAGGGCTGTCGTGCTTGACACGTCTCTGCAACATTGCGTGGTCATCAGGGTCAGTTCCTGTGGAGTGGCAGACTGGGGTGGTGGTCCCCATCTTTTAGATGGGTGACCTGAGGGTGTGTTCCAACTATAGGGGAATTAGACTCCTCAGCCTCCCTGGAAAAGTCTACTCCAAGGTACTGGAGAGGAGGGTCCGATCGAGAGTTGAATGAGGAGGAGCAATGTGGTTTTCGTCCTGGCTGTGGAACTGTGGACCAGCTCTATACCCTTGCAAGGGTGATGGAGGGGACATGGGAGTTTGCCCAACCAATCCACATGTGTTTTGTGGATTTGGAGAAGGCTTATGACCGTGTCCCCAGGGGCACTCTGTGGGGGACGCTCCAGGAGTACGGGGTGGGTGGCTTTCTGTTAAGGACCATTCAGTCCCTTTACCAGAGGAGCGTGAGTTAGGTCCACATAGCCGGTAGCAAGTTGGACCTGTTCCCGGTGAGGGTTGGACTCCGCCAGGGCTGCCCTTTGTCACCGGTTCTGTTCATTACCTTTATGGACCGAATTTCTAGGCACAGCCGTGGTGTGGAGTGTGTCGAGTTTGGTGGCAGGAGAATCTTGTCTTTGCTTTTGCGGATGATGTGGTCCTCCTAGCTTCATCCAGCTCTGACCTTCGGCTCTTGCTGGGTAGGTTCGCGGCAGAGTGTGAAGCGGCTGGGATGAGGATCAGCACCTCCAAATCTGAGACCATGGTTCTCGACTGGAAAAGGGTGGCTTGCCAACTCCAGGTCGGGAGAGAGGTCCTACCTCAAGTGAAGGACATGATGGGTGTACTGCCGTGTAATTTGCAAAGGATGTTTAAAACTCATGAAGAGGGTTATGAATTGAGAGGCGTTAAAAACTTCATTTTTCCATTATACCGAACAACTATGAAAAGTATGTGTGTATCTGTATGTGGTATCAAACTGTGGAACAAACTTGATGTGACTTTAAAATTATGTAAAAACATTAGATCATTTAAAATGTTGTATAAACAACTTATAATTGACTCATACATAAATAGCAAGTGATAAATATGGTAATTGGCTTCAAATGGAATATTTTGTTTTTGTTGTTTATTGGTTTTGTTTTCTTTTTCTGTAGATTCATGTGAACAATTGTTTTGTAACTGTCTTTTTATGTAGCAACTAGCAAGGTGAAGATAGAACGACCTGCATAAAGAAAAGTTTTTTTTCTTTCAAATTTGTTAATGTGAGCAAATGTGATTTATTAACTGAATTGGGGCTGGGCTAGATAAGCTTTTGCTTCTTCCAGTTCCCTCTCAAATGGTTTATGTTATTGTATGTTTTGTATTGTTTCATTCAACAGCATATGTTTATCGTATTCCTCATTTAAAAAAATAAATAAATTTTTTGTATGCACCTGGAATATGGGGGAGTGCATATGCAATTTCATGTTTTCGATGGTTTGAGATAAATAAATAAATAAATAAAATAAATAAATAAATAAATAAGGAGTTTAAGTATCTCTGGGTCTTGTTCACGAGTGAGGGTAGGAGGGATCGGGAGATCGACAGGCGGATTGGTTCAGCGTCTGCAGTGATGCGGACGCTGAGCCGATCTGTTGTGGTGAAGAGGGAGCTGAGCCAGAAAGCAAGGCTCTCGATTTACCGGTCAATCTACGTCCCAATCCTCAACTATGTTCATGAGCTTTGGGTAATGAACGAAAGAACGAGATCGCGGATACAAGTGGCCGAAATGAGTTTCCTCCGTAGGGTGGCTGGGCTCAGCCTTAGAGATAGGGTGAGGAGCTCGGACATTCGGGAGGGACTCTGAGTAGAATCGCTGCTCCTCCGGATCGAAAGGAGTCAGTTGAGGTGGTTTGGGCATCTGGTCAGGATGCCTCCTGGACGCCTCCCTGGGGAGGAGTTTCGGGCATGTCCTGCTGGCAGGAGGCCCCCGGGTCGACCCAGGACACGTTGGAGAGGTTTCTTCTCCAATCTGGTTCGGGAATGCCTTGGGGTCCTGCTGGAGGAGCTGGTGGAGGTGGCCGGAGAGAGGACGGTCTGGAGCTCCCTAGTTGGGATGCTGCCCCTGCGACCCGGACCCGGATAAGCGGAGGAAGACGACGACGATTTCAATCAGCACAGTGAATTAACCTGGTTCAGTTGCTGAGCAGAAAAAAATATGACATGGAGATGACTTGATGATGCCACAATGTCACATCTCTGGTATGAACTAAAGTAGAGAATAACTTCTGTTTTAGTTGTGTTGCATTGTAAGTAGAGGAAAGCAGGTGGGATTGTGAAAGACAAAAATCTTTCCACAACTATATTGTCAAAATAACGGTATAGGTAGGTACAATATCATATCTGTTTCTAAATATATTGGGATATCGGCAAACCGTAGTTATAATAACTTGACTTGTACACTGAAAAAGTCTTGAAAATGTCCTGGAAAAGAATTTCAAGAAGAGTGGGAACCCTGTGAAATTCTGGACTTTTCTAATGCTTATTTTTGTAAATGACTGTTTTTGCTTCCTCACAATTGATTTGAAGAAATGTTGACCATCTGGATTAAGTTTGCATTAATGACCATTTATATAAAGCCTATATTAACAGTATAATAAGGTTCTTTGTCTTGGCCTATGTACCTTTTTGTAACTATTACATTTTTATATGTAAAGCTTTCAAATTTGTAATAAAATACATTAACAAACAAGTTCTATAGTGATTATTTTTGCTTGAGTTGCCCAATTCTAACAAACAGTAAACTGTTGACAAAGAGCATTTCGATGATTCAAACGCAAAATCATTTAAATAACGCATTTTTCATTGACATCTCTAGTTACCGCCTGAATGTTCTGGAAAACTTGAGAAATGTCAGCATTGTGTAATTCCACGTGCCTTCGCAAACCCATGATCCCGCCTTTGTATCCCATAAAAGGAATAAAGGCGTGCACTCTTGTATTGATTGACAAGTCGCTCGACCTATCAGCGGCGACCACCCAAGAAGGATTCCAGACGGTTCTGGAAGCTTGGGTTGGGATTTTCTCGAACACACCGAGAGTACAAAAACCAGACAGCTACCGTCTTCTAGGAAGATTCAACACCGACAGAAGCTGCTGAGAGCGAGGAGCGACATAAACACATTTACCTGGGTTATCGTGTCACATTGGGACCAAGGTATTTCAGTCATTTGAATGTTTTTTGTAGCTTAAAAACACACACCGACTGGTATTAGCTTAACTCGTGCTTCATATTTAACCTCTTGTTGATGCTAATGGGTGTATGAGTAAGCAACATATTCAGGTTTTCTTTCTTATTTCGAAACAGTCAAGATGGGTTGATGAAGTCCATCCAGGAACAATCCTGACACGATGCGGTGCACTTGTTACAAATTTGGGAAAAATGGAGTTTAATTAATGTAGCTTTTGTTGCAGCTTTAAACATTCTTAGTAACGGAGCAGTTTTAAGACTAGCACCGAGTTGTCGTTCATTGAATCTCTTCATTTCTCTGTGGAAGGGAGGGGCTCTCCTCTTCGTCTCCAGCAGCTAGAGAGTTCTACTTGCATCCCGTAGCTTCTAGAACGTTGCGTTTCAACCGGAAACCAGCAGGTGGAGGTCTTCTTGCTGCTCGCGCAGCTCATGCTCGCTCGATCAGTCAGCATGACAGAATAAAAGCACACCAAACAAAAATGAAATTGTCATTAAACCACATTATTGGTGACTAGGACATAACTAAGCTGTATTCTGTCATCTGATGACTGAATACAGCTTTCATTGTAGAAATCAAATGTCAAATTAGGGTTTTTCAGTTGTAATCCAATAAATACTTATTCTTAAGATGAGTGTTTCCCATTTCTAGATGCCTGAGCCACACGACCAACCAATGGAGGAGGAGGCAGAGACTTTTGCATTCCAGGCTGAGATTGCTCAGCTGATGTCCTTGATCATCAACACTTTCTATTCCAACAAGGAGATCTTCCTTAGGGAGCTCATTTCCAACTCTTCAGATGTAAGTTTGCCTCTGTCTGTCTCATTCATACACATAAGTAGTTAGTGTAGTACTACTGGGATGGCAATACCTCAGGAGGTGTAGAGCAGGTTGTCTAGTAATCCAGTAATCCGAAAGGTTAGATCCCAGCTCCCATCAGAGAATGCTGTTGTGTCCTTGGGCAAGACGCTTAATTAACCCGCCTTGCCTGCTGGTGGTGACTAGAGACGCATTCTTCAATGTGTGCTAGGCCTTTCATTGTTCAAATTAATTTAAACTCTTAACAAGCACTAATTTATTCCCTCTCTTGAACAGGCTCTGGACAAAATCCGGTATGAAAGTCTCACTGATCCCTCAAAGCTCGATTCTGGCAAGGACCTTAAAATCGAAATCATTCCCAACAAAGAGGAACGCACCCTGACCTTGATTGACACCGGCATCGGTATGACCAAGGCAGACCTGATCAACAACCTGGGCACCATTGCCAAGTCTGGCACCAAGGCCTTCATGGAGGCTCTGCAGGCTGGAGCTGACATCTCCATGATTGGTCAGTTTGGAGTGGGTTTCTACTCCGCCTACCTGGTGGCTGAGAAGGTCACGGTCATCACAAAGCACAACGATGACGAGCAGTATGCCTGGGAGTCTTCAGCTGGGGGCTCGTTCACAGTCAGACTTGACAACTGTGAGTAATTTGATCATTTAATATAAGTAACATTTAGTTAAAAGTGATTCCTGTAATATTCTACTAACTTGTTTTTCTTGCGCAGCTGAACCTCTGGGACGTGGAACTAAAGTGATCCTGCACCTGAAAGAAGACCAGATGGAGTACCTGGAGGAAAAAAGAGTCAAAGAAATCGTAAAGAAGCACTCGCAGTTCATTGGTTACCCCATCACACTCTTTGTAAGTTTCACTGAAGTGTTAATAGTTTCACGCTAAATAAATTATAAAACACATTCAAGTCCAAGGAATTAAACCCTTGTTACGGATTTTCTTAACTAGGTGGAGAAGGAGCGAGATAAGGAAGTGAGTGATGACGAGGAGGAGGGAGAGGAGAAAGATGAGGAAAAAGACAAGGAAAAAGAGAAGGACGAGGATAAACCTGAGATTGAGGACGTAGGATCAGATGAAGAAGTTGACCACGAGAAGTCTTCAGACAAAAAGAAAAAGAAGAAGATCAAGGAGAAGTACATTGATCAGGAGGAGCTGAACAAAACCAAACCTCTTTGGACGCGTAATCCTGATGACATCACCAATGAGGAGTATGGAGAGTTCTACAAGAGTTTAACCAATGATTGGGAGGACCACCTAGCAGTAAAGGTTTGTCTACTTTTTGTTCAGCGTGATCTCTGGTCCGTTTGTGTTCTCTGGTCCTTAAGTTCACCTCCACTTTATTTCTCATCCAATCAGCACTTCTCCGTTGAGGGTCAGTTAGAATTCCGCGCCCTGCTTTTTGTGCCTCGACGTGCTCCATTTGACCTGTTTGAGAACAAAAAGAAGAAGAACAACATCAAACTCTATGTGCGCAGGGTCTTTATCATGGACAACTGTGATGAGCTCATCCCAGAATACCTCAGTAAGTATGACCTCCTTAAGCAACTTAACATCAATGTCTATCTTTTATAAAATATTAATAAAATGGTGGAAATGCAGATTTGTTTGACATAGTTGTCTTTGTTTTTGTTAGATTTCATCAGGGGTGTGGTGGACTCTGAGGACCTGCCCCTGAACATCTCCAGAGAGATGCTTCAGCAGAGCAAGATCCTGAAGGTGATCCGCAAAAACCTGGTCAAGAAGTGCCTGGAACTGTTCACAGAGCTGTCTGAGGACAAGGACAACTACAAGAAGTTCTACGAGCAGTTCTCCAAGAACATCAAGGTAGCTGGATGGTCCCATCTGCCTGCAGCCTTTGACTAATCTTATTGATCCTGCCGAGTAGAGTAGAAAACCAATAACTTGGTTTACTTTTGCACATTTATGCCAATTAAACCCTTGCAAAGATTTTCTGCTGAGAAATGACGATTCTAATTCGGATTCTCTGTTTACTTTAGCTCGGCATCCATGAGGACTCCCAGAACAGAAAGAAGTTATCTGAACTGCTGCGATACTACACATCAGCCTCTGGAGACGAGATGGTTTCCCTCAAGGACTATGTGACACGCATGAAGGACAACCAAAAGCACATCTACTACATCACAGGTGAGCTTCTGCTGCCCTTATCCACGAATGTGGACTGATGTCCTGGTTGTCTGATTCTTACGGGCTTCTCATCATTTTTTTTATTCTAAAAGATCAAATAAGTTTAGATTTTTCCTTTTGTATTCAACGATGTCATGTTTGAATCCAGGTGAAACTAAAGACCAAGTCGCCAACTCCGCCTTCGTGGAGCGTCTCCGTAAAGCTGGTCTGGAAGTCATTTACATGATCGAGCCCATTGACGAGTACTGCGTCCAGCAGCTGAAAGAGTTTGAGGGAAAGAACCTGGTTTCAGTCACAAAGGAAGGTCTGGAGCTGCCTGAAGATGAAGAAGAGAAGAAGAAGCAGGAGGAGAAGAAAGCTCAGTTTGAGAGTCTCTGCAAGATCATGAAGGACATCTTGGAAAAGAAGGTGGAGAAGGTGAGAAGATATGAACCGAACCTTAAGCCAAACGTTTATTTCTTATGTAACTGTGCCTTAACATCGACCTTTAACCCCTCTCCAGGTCACAGTCTCCAACCGTCTAGTCTCTTCACCTTGCTGCATCGTCACCAGCACCTACGGCTGGACGGCCAACATGGAGAGAATCATGAAAGCCCAGGCTCTGAGGGACAATTCCACCATGGGATACATGGCTGCCAAGAAACACCTGGAGATCAACCCTGACCACCCTATCATGGAGACACTGAGACAAAAGGCAGAGGCCGACAAGAACGACAAGTCTGTGAAGGACCTGGTTATCCTGCTGTTTGAGACCGCCTTGCTGTCTTCGGGTTTTACGCTGGAGGACCCACAGACGCACGCCAACCGCATCTACAGAATGATCAAGCTGGGTCTTGGTAAGTTTTATTTTACCAGTGAGCTACGATTGTATGCATGCTAGGCTAAAGATGCAATGCCCTGACTGTGTGATCTGCTCAGGCATCGATGAGGAGGACGTGACATCAGATGACACCACCTCTGCTCCTACTGAGGACATGCCGCCGCTCGAGGGAGATGATGACACATCCAGGATGGAAGAAGTGGACTAAGGCCTGCTGTGAATCTCCACTAGTGTTCAGAAGTAGTTTATTGTACAGTTCAAAGTTTAATGTGAAAATGAGCTCAGAATGCACCCGTTTATCCGTTGAAAGACCACCGACTTCGTTCTCCCTCGTCTTAAGTTCAGATTCATTCCTCAAGGACAAGCTTGTCAGATTTGTATGTGGAGTTGTACCACTGCATTTGGGTTTTTTGTATTTACTGACATTCCAATGTTTAAGTGACTGTAAATATTGAGATTGCATTGTTTGACAAAGTGTAGCACATAAATAAAGTTTAAACATGAGAAGTTGTATTTATTGGATACATCTTTAATGTGTAGCCAAGCGATGATCGTTGACGATGTACGCAGTTGTGTGTGTGTGTGTGTATATATATATATATACTGCTGCATTGACCGCAGATAACTTCTGAGCAACATGGAACTACTGCTACTGCTGTCACAATCTGAGAGGAACCAATGCCATGTAGTTGTAAATCAACAGCAGGAAGTGATGCATCACGATATAAACACAGCTTCAAATTGGTTATCTTTCAATCTTAGACTAAATGAGGTACATAATGACATCCCCCCCCCTATAAATGCACTGTTATGCTGACAAGCCTTATAAAAGTCAAACAGGAAGCTGGGGTTAATTTTTTTAGATGGATTTGATATTAATAAAGAAGTCTGTTCATAAAGGGAGGACCTGTGCTATATAGTAAAAATGGCCACAAGGATGCAGCAGCCCAGATGTGCTCTAAAGTTTCATTTGTTATTTAAGAGATGTTAGATGTTTGAAATGAAAGATCAGATGAATAAGTAACATTTGTATTGGGCAGGATACATTTTCAACCAGTTGAAAGTATACTGCTGCATCATGTGTGTGTATTAAAAATCTATTGTAAAACATTTCCATTTTGAGATGCCCCAGCCATCTTTACATTTGCTTAAACAACTGTCCTGATTAAAAGCAAATTACTTGAATAGAGGTGGCAAAAAAATATTTCTACCGAGAATGCCGTCTAGTTACCTGCATCTCTCACGTTTGCCGCCAGTGGGCGCGCACACTTATTTATCGACCAATCAGAAGTCAGGTGACTGACAGCAGCCAATCACAGAGCGAGAACAGCTTGAACATCTTTTTGCCGTGGTGACCTCCGGGAGAGTTATCGTTTTGGTTGTGGAATTACCGAGAAGGGAGCTAGAGCGGCAAACGGTGGTAAAATGCCAAATAAACCTAAAAAAGATAAGGTGAGTTTTTGAGCTTCAAAGAGTTTATTTTGAAGCGATAGTAAACTTTGTACGAGTGAATATTAGTAAACTGAGCGTTTAGCTTGTAGTTCGGTGTGTCCCATTACATGAGCGGTTAGCCAAATACCAGTTATTCCGAGCTAGCTGCTATCCTGCCAAAACAGCACTGGGAGTGTCGCGCTGTTTTGCTAATACACACACCCGTAAACATGAACTGGACTGCGTTCACATGCTTTTCTGTTTTTTTATTTTATTTACTTTTTTGCTATAAGTGACAGGACATTTTATCTCAGCTAGTTGTCATAAAGCCCACGAGCTAAGGATAAGCTAACTGCTCAAACAAGGTCGGTTTCACAGGCATACAGTGTTTATCTTAGATTTGTGCAGAACAAAACTGGATAACTGTTTACTGACTTGATATGCCGATTTACCCGGTACAGCTAACACTGATGCTTATTTTCCTCCCCCAGGAGTCTCTCAAGCCTGGCAAAGTGGGAAAGGGAGGAGGACAGGAGAATTCAGAGAATGAGGTAAATCAGATCACTTCTCAAATATCTCTGGCAATAAGATATCACTGCATGAGATTAGTCTGGGCAATCAGTTTGTAACTCACATTTCGTGCAGATAAACTGGTGGATCTGAGTGCTTTGCTATTTCAGACCATATTTACCCACACGTACTCCTGATGCATATTCAACTTTTAAGAATCGATAGCACTAGAGACAGCATTTGCTTAAGTCCCACGTATTATAACTGGCCTGGTTTTATAGTAGACAAACCAGTAGCCAGATTGCTCTGGAACAGTCCGCAGCTTCTGATGCAGCTACACTGAAATAAAGCAGCAGACACAGCTTACAGCTGCACATTTCAGCTAAAAACCAAACAAATTCGGTGCCCAGTTTACTCCAAATTTTGCCAACAGTACAGACATGATTCAGAATATTAAATGTTAATTCTTTAGAAAATTTGAATTTGTGTTGTATGAATATTTTGGGCTGCGCAGTGGCGCAGTGGTTAGAGCTATTGCCTTGCAGCAAGAAGGTCCTGGGTTCGCGTCCCGGCCTGGGATCTTTCTGCATGGAGTTTGCATGTTCTCACTGTGCTTGCGTGGGTTCTCTCTGGGTACTCCAGCTTCCTCCCACAGTCCAAAAACATGACTGTTAGGTTGATTGGTCTGTCTAAATTGTCCTTAGGTGTGTGTGTGTGTGTGTGTGTGTGTGTGCGTGCATGATTGTTTGTCCTGTGTGTCTCTGTGTTGCCCTGCGATGGACTGGCTCTCTGTCCAGGGTGTACCCCACCTGATTGCCCGTTGACCGCTGGAGATAGGCACCAGCCCCCCTCCCCCGTGACCTTGCATGTACAAAGCGGGTTCAGAAAATGGATGGATGAATATTTTGACAATATACTTTTCAGCATTAGTTTCCTGTAAATATCCGTTGAAATCGCACGTTGGTAGAAATACTTTTTTGTTCTGTTTAATTCAGAAATACAAGATTTTTATACATTTGATTCAATGTATTCTGTAAACGATTGCATTGGAGGTGTTTTTATTTTATTTTATTTTTTCACGCATGAGGCTGCCGTCGTCAGTATCATTTTATGGACCTACTTTACTCAGAAGCTGTTGCATCAGTTTATTTTTACAGTAGTGGAGCTCAGACTTGCTCTCTAACATTTTCCTCAAATCTGAATTGGATCACATCTAGAAAAGAACCTTTGACCCATATTTCTAACTATTTGAAACGTTGCTGCTCAAGCACAAACATCCGTAGTCGGTCCTATTGTCACAAACTATGTTTTTATCAAATGCTTCAACTCTCCGTTTAGATTCAGAAGACTTTTCTTTTATGCAGTCATTTGACGGTCAGAGAAGAAATGCACAGCTTGTGTGAAATTCTCCTAAATTTGATCATTGTATCATATTAGTCCTTGCCTAAATACTCAGTGGAAAAAGCAAAATAAAGCGGGTAGTTTAAGCTTTCACCTCTTACTGAGGTTTGTCTGCTAGCAGATCGATTAATGCACGAACCTGTGTCGTATTAAAATTTAGTGCTGCAGGCTTTTGTTATGTCACCCATCGTGGACTTTAACTAGATGCTTAACAGTAAACAGTGTTTATATAAGGTGTAGGAAGGCTTCGTTTGTGTTGTTGGGTTCAGAATCAATAAAATAAATGAGATGTTAATTAAGAAAACCACAGAAAACATCCTTCCTGTTTGGGTTTCAACTGGAAATCTTAATCCCAGTGTTTGTAGTGGATATAACTGTGCAGTTAATCAAATTGTGCACGTAATATTACTTTAATTGAAATGATTCAATCATGTTCTGCTTTTATTCCGCCATGCTTTTAAGTAGGGATGCACCGATACCGATACTGGTATCGCTATTGGTGCTGATACGATACCGATAGCAGTATCGGTATCTGTAAAAGTTAATCGATACCAGGAACCGATACCAACGCAGTTGCTTGAAAATGGCTTCACTGTAACTTGTCATTTCTGCTCACCTAATATTTTAGTTTTGTGATGATTTCTATTTATATATTTTACTTTTTATCTACCTCACAGTCTTTTCCTGTTGAAAGCAGAGAAGAAAATAAAATCTGTTTTCCAAATCATTGCATTTTTCGTGTGTGGTAGAAGTATCGGTATCGGCGAGTACTCAGATCCAGAGATCGGTATCGTATGGGTTTGGATAAAAGGGGTATCGTTGCATTCCTACTTTTAAGTGGTGTGCACTTCTCCTTCTAAAAGCTAAACTCACACATCTTCAGGTGGTGTTTAACGTTTCCTGTGATTTCGATACGCACTCAAAATAATCCCGGTTATTTTCTTTCTTTTTCAAACAGCCAAGTGGAGACATGGAATATAAGTTCATAAAACAAAGACTATCTCTGTTTTTCTTTTTCAAGTCCCCAAATATGTGACTTGGATGTTAATTAGTTTTTATTTCTAAAGAAGTTCCTATGCTTGCTGTGTTGTTTACACTGCGTGGATCCAATGTGTGTCTCTCTCGTTTCTGCAGAGTTCTAACAGGAAAACAAGCAACTGTGTTCCTCCCACCACTCAGCTGCTAAAGGGGAAGCAGCCAGGTTCCCAGACACCTGTCAAAAAGGACAAGAGGCAGAGCTCCTCTCGCTTCAGCTTGAGGAACAACAGGGAGCTGCAGAAACTGCCAGCATGTAAAGGTACCTACCTGTGCACGTCATTATTAACTTATTCACTGCCATTGACGACTAAAGTCGTCATTTTTTATTTATTTTTCCCCCGTGTCCTGTCTGGCTGTGAAGTAAACAGAATTGATGTCTGAATGCTGGTGACAAGCCTTACAGATTTACTCTCAGGTGGAGCATCAAAGCGTCTGCTTTTAATGTCACGCCTGATACTTAAAACTTTATTGTAACTGTTTTTGAATGCTTTTTAATTCCAACCAGACACGGAGACAGAGGTGAAAGAGAAAGGAAGAGACAAAAGGAAGGGGGGGGGGGGGGGTCCACAAAAATAAACAATCAATGATAAACAAGAGTCTGCTTCTAGACCTGCAGAAAAGGGACACACAGCAATACAACAGGAGCAACCTATCACTGCGTCAACTTGATGAAGAAATGTAAAATCAACATTGTTTTACTGAACAATCACACGATAATAAATCACAGTGTATTTAGTGCCAACCACAGCCTTAAGACATGTGTTGAATGTGCCCAAGTCCATACTTATGAGAGCACCATGTGAGCACCTGTGTGTGTACATGCGCTTGTTTATGTAAGGAGCGTCCAATAGAGAGTGTGAGGGGCCACAGATCTGCCCCCCAAAGATGTGTAGGAGATGGAAGGAGCTCCAAGCCCCAGAGATCCAGGAGCCTCCCCAGAGCGCAGGGACCCCAGAGAGACTGCGACCAGAAAAGCCCCTGCCCCCCTTGAGAGGCACAGAGGACGGTAGCCGGCAGAGTCTCTGGGGATATCAGCGGCAAGCCCACAGGCTCGCTCGCAGCCTCCCACCCCCTAGCCGGCTGAGCCCAGAACCCAGTGACCCGGGACCCAGGGGCGACCAGCAGAG